GGCTGTCGTCCGCAGGGCGTAGACATGGGTGGGCCCGTGTCGAAGGCTGCTGATGACTGGAAAACGGCCTGATGCAAACCGTTGCCGGCTGCGCACTGGAGATCTGGCTCGCACTTGGACACAGAATCAAGAAGAAGGCCAGATTTTCTGGTCTGGAGAACAAAACTCTCGGACCATCCCCTAAGGCTAGCGTTCTTGTGAATCCCATTTCTTCCTGATTATCTTCCGAGTCAATCAGGCAAGTGGGTGGATGCGAGCTTTCTACTGTATAACCTCAGTCATACACAGTCACGCAGGCCCCGGTACACGGAGCCTTTTCGATCAAAGGTGTGGTTAATAGGACCCGTTGACACGCTTGTCGGTTCATAAGGGGTGCTTGACAGTTGTCAATGTCCTCTGCGCCTTTCAATTGACCTCTGGATGCCCGCACGCCCTTGAGACCCTGTTTCGGTCCGCTTCTCCCCCGTGATCTTGTACCATCATGGCTACCATGGATGACATGGACAAGTTTGTCAATTGGGACAACCCTGAGCTGGTCATGGAAGACGACCATCAGTTCGCCCTTCAGCAGGACGTCGACGCCGCCTTTGCTGGGATGGATACCGACCTCGTCTTTGAGAACATCAATGAGGATGACTTCAGCTTCAACGCCCTTCAGCACTTCACCGACCAAAACATGGCCACCAATGGTATAGACATGTCAGCCCCTATACCGGATGCCACCCAAGGACCAACGGTCCATGCTTCCTTCTGGGAGACGCCTGCCGTCCCCTGCTCCCAGTGTTCTCTGGGGGGATACTCTTGCAAGAAAATCAGAGAGGGTCGGTACAGAGGCTACTGCACCAGCTGCGTAGCTTTAACCCTCGAGTGCAGCTTTGGGGGTGAAGTGCCTGCCAACCTGAACCCGAAATCTGTATCGGTCCCAGCGGCTTCAATGATGGGCCTGGACCGCGACCTGGGTGCAATTCTGGACGGAACTGCCATGCATAATCGCGATGCTACAGCGACAGCAGACCTTCTCAACATTACCGGTGCCGCGGCCGATGGACCTGTGCTCGTTGCGCCCAGGCCTCAAGCCCCCCCAGCTAAAATCGGTGCCCGTTTCTCGAGGGAGTCGGTTCGTATTTTGAAAACCTGGTTGACGACCCATAACAGACATCCTTATCCTAGTGACGAGGAAAAAGAAATGCTGCAAAGGAACACAGGGTTGAGCAAAACCCAAATCACCAATTGGCTGGCAAATGCTCGACGTCGTGGCAAAGTCCAACCGCCGCGGTCTACCTCACCACAGGTTGGTAATTGGTCGTCTAGCGGCATCGGTTCCATCGATATCCCAAAGCGACGTGGAACACCTGCATTGGAAACCATGAATCCCCTTCAACGTTGGGAACACTCTCCCCCGGAAAACGAACCGGCCTCAGTGACTGCCATTGCACGGGCCGTGACGGCTTCATCATCTGGGCTCTCGTCCGGACTGAACAGTCCCTTTAGTACCGTCAATTATACAGATGATGGATCCAGCCGGTCACTCTGCAACCAGTCTTCGGTTAGCAGTTTGGGAACCTCGCAATCTAGCAATGGCTCCCGGGGATCCGCCTACTCCTATGCATCTCGCAATTCATTTGGATCTGCCCGTTTCAGCAATCATGGCCGTCGGCGACGTCGACGAAGGCCCACACCAAACCAGAGCCAAGAGGAAAGTGGCAAGGGAATCAAGTCTGTCCCTCGAACCTTCCAGTGTACCTTCTGTACTGAAACGTTCCGGACTAAGCATGATTGGCAACGGCATGAAAAATCTCTTCATCTGTCTCTTGAGCGGTGGGTGTGCGCTCCACATGGTTCACGAGCTGTGAACCCCGAAACTGGGCTCCTGAGCTGCGTATACTGTGGCATAGTTGACCCAGACGAATCGCACATCGAAAGCCATAACCACTCAACGTGCCAGGAGAAGTCAGCAGCCGAGCGCACTTTTTACAGGAAAGATCATTTGAACCAGCATCTTCGTTTGGTCCACAATGTCAAGTTTGCAGATTGGTCTATGAAATCTTGGAAGGTTGCGGCTCCGGAAATCAGGTCACGTTGCGGGTTCTGCGGCATTGTGATGGACACTTGGACAATACGTGTTGATCATTTGGCAGAGCATTTCAAGACAGGTTATTCCATGGCTGACTGGAAGGGAGACTGGGGTTTTGACAGCTCAGTGCTCGATATGGTCGAAAACTCTGTTCCTCCTTGTATGCGACCTTTACAATACCCCATAGATCAGCTGGACACTTCTAACACCTGAGAATATAGACTTGATTCATCATGAAAGGAATTCCCCCTTGCCTTACGTAGCAAGCCAGCCTTCGCCGCAATCACCTCGTAATGCCTACGAACTGATTAAACTCGAACTGGAATATTTCACGGCCAACTATTTGGAACAGAACGGAACCCAGCCGACCGACGAGGAGCTCATGGTCGAAGGATGTCGTATTATTTACGCTAGCGAATTGTTGTCGCTCCAGGGAATCGCTTCAGAGGTATCCTGGCTTCGTGATGTCATCATGAAAATAGAGGAGTTGGCCCTCAAAGCTCGTTTTGGACCTCTTCGTAATGCTACGGAAAACAGGTTGGCTACACTCAAAATTAACGGCAAGGATAACCTGTTCGAGTTGTGCCCCCTGGAATTCCAACTTCAAGAGTTCGTCAGGGCCAAGCGCCTACTGGGCCTAACTGCTATGGACTATGAGCTGCAGCAGGAGGCTTGCAGAATTGTTGGTCGCGTCGAGGAGGTGTCAGTCCATCCTTCAGACATCGTTGCAAACTGGTTGCTTCGACTCATCCGGTCTTCAACCCACTGGCTAGCCGCATTTCGACGCCGAGCACATCTGCCGAGAACGGAAGATGTGAAGAACGACACATGCCGATCGAACGACCCAACAGTCATCGATTCTACCATCCATAGTTATACAAGGTTGGAAAGCGAGCTGCGCGACTTCCTTCGGGATCAGCGTGCTTTGGGGTTGGAACCCACGGATGAAGACCTCCAGCGGCAAGCCCGTATCATCATATACGAATTCGACGACGGATGGAACCAAACCGCCGCGGACAATGCTTTGTGGTTGAGAGCTTTCAAGGAGCGTCATCTCCACGACTTGAGCCCCGCGGTGACGGAGACTTCACCGGGACTCTCTCTGACGAAGACGCACCCATCGACCACCACGGATACCCCCATGACACTACATTCCCCGGATGCTACGAGAACTGCGCCTAAAGCTCTCGATGTGAATGGAAATCTTCTCAAGCTGACCCCGTTCTTCCTCAACGATGCAAACTGCTATCGTCGACTGTCAAAGGAGCTGGGACGGTGGGTTGCGGCTACGATGTCTCCCAATAATCCAAACCAGCACGTTCCATCCGACGAGGAGTTGAGACACCAGGCTCGGTACATTATTTATGAAAGGTAGGCTCAAATGATTATCCTAGACTAGCCAAACACGATTGACTAACTTGACGTAGTGACGATCCTTGGAACCAAACAGCAGCAGACAACGCCGAGTGGCTGCAACGGTTCAAGCGCGACTCTGGAATCCTCAATGATGCTGGCCCAGGTCTCCCAGAGTGCTCTGCCTGGGCTGTCGAACAAGGAGGCTCTGGATTTGCTCCCCCCTACACATTCCCCAAGAGCCAGCTCGAGCCGTTTAGTGGCGATGTGCAAATCAGCATGAGGGCCGGGACCAAACCGTTCTCTGCAGGTCAATCGGGGGCCAACGGTTTCCTGGAGAATCTTACATCTAGAGATCAGCGACCTGCCGCAATTTTCTGCTCTCGCGAGCTGGAGCGGCGATTGCTCGAGTTCACAAGGGAATCCGTTGTTGATATTGGCCGATTACCTTCCGGGGACAGCCTGAGACGCTACGCCAGGCAAGTCATGGGGACTGACACAACACCAGTGGATGGCCCAGTGCTCTTGGGAAAATTCCAGCAATGGATAGTGCAGAAATGTCCCGGTGTCGAGTTGGCGGAACCGGAGACCTCGTGCTTGCCGAAGAATATGGACGTCAATATCTCGGATGAGGATCTGGAGTACATGCTGCAAGACATGGACTTTGATTTCGGCCCTGGGCAGTACGACAGGACGGTAGAGTCAGATGGCGGAGTGTCCCTGACCGGGTTCAATGACTAGGGTCCATTGTATGATATCCAAGAGGATTTCATACAGACACACACAAAAGGTGATTTTGGCATGGATGGAGTGCATATAGCAACAACTTGCTATTCGACGAGCGTGCATCTAGAATACGGGATTTGGTGAGGTTGAGAGCTGATATCTGGCCTCGATTTGATTTTCCCTTCCGGTATCTGTTTCTTGGGCAGGGCAAAAAAAGATAAGGGCGGGATGTGCAATATGCAGTACTGATTATGATATTCTGCTCAATATGTTTGTATACATGAATAATACCTATGACGGAGTTTTGCTGAAGGGATGGGCGCATTAGGCCAGCAGTTAGCACTAGCTGTATTACTTAGGATTACCAAATAAACGGGCTGATCTTGACTCCATTCATCCGAATTTGGCCTACGGAAGCGCCAAGCTAAAAAGACGGGCATTTGGGGTTTCCTTAGCTTTTATTTGTAATGATTATTCCTGGTTCTCTCCCAAAACACCACGCTCATCGATCCTACTCTGCTTCTGGTATTGTGAATTTGTCATGGGCAAGCGCTTTCCAGTATTTTCGTGTACCATGACCAAGGTTCTGAAATGCTTCTTTAGGGAGCTCGGTAATAATTATGAGGCAGGTATTTACCTTGCGGTTGCTCTATTTCAATTACCGATTCAAGGTTAAGTTTTATTGATCACGTTCTACATGATTTGAACACGGTCATGTATATATGCAGAGGCAATTGCCTCTTTAATTCGTAACAAACCTTCACATTTCTATTGCATCGCATCGGGCGTTATAGCGTCATCGTATTTGAACCGTTTCTCGAGATTTAGCATTGCATTCTTTGTCGGCATGCCCACTTACCTGTGTCACGGATTCCGGTGGCATCGCAGGAGCATCCGCTTCTTTGTCATCATCTACGACCTGCTCGATGCGGCGCCGGACTGGATCGTCGGCCGGGGCTCGTCGGCAGCAATACTGGAGCACTTCTACGAGAGATATGAATTTCTACCCCGGCCGCCCTCCTTTAGAGAGCTCTCCGAGCCGCCTGTAGGGCATCCCGGGGGCCCCGCAGATGAGAGGACTGGGGACGAGAGCGAGGACGACGATGACGATTGCACCGCACGCCTCGATCAGGACCCCGTACTAATAAATGATGAGTGGTCTGTCGTGAAGCTCCTGGAGGAATACGACCCCCGTGAGACCGTGGAGCCGTGTCGGCCATATGCATATGTTGCCGACTATGCTGTTCGGGTGGAGCTCAGCGCCGGTGTGACAGAGGAGATCGCTCGTTATGAGCGGATAGCCAACGAGAGAGGCGATGACTCTTGGTTTGAGAAACTGAGGGACGCCCTGGAGAAGGACGAGGAGATTGGATGGTTCGTTGTAGTGAACGGGATCGAGGATGATATTGTCGAGGCGGAACGCCAGATGAGAATGACTGAGCAGATACCCGGCCAGTCCCACGTTAATGAGTCTGATGAGAAAATGGAGCAGGGAGGGATTGACACGAATCACGACAGCATAGATGATACGGAGAAACAGCAGGATATGAAGAGGCCATCATCGAGGATGAAACAGCTCAAAGATATCGGTTTTCAAAAATGACGGTATAATATGCACATACCTGCGTTACCACTGCTAATTTAGACTTATAGACGGCTATAGATGCTTCGTGTATATAAACACGATAGACACCTATTAGGAATTCTCTCTGTATTAACTGATATGAATAAGTAAGAGTTTCGGGAGATTAATTGAGACTACTGCCTGCTTATATGTGTATGAAGTAGAGCCTAGCAATCTAGTGTGCACGATTCAAAGTGGCCCGAACGCTTCTCTTGGCAAACGCTGGAACCAGCAACGGGCGCTGGCGACCTGCATTGTCCACGCACATTTGGATCTCCCCGTAATAATTGAATCATCTAATTGATAGGCATTTTGGATCCTGGCCAATGTAATTGGAATCATCCCCAGGGGTTGAAGGATTGAAGGAATGATATCAATGCGTCACGTGAATGTCGAACTGTGCCGCCAGCTGTGGTTTCGGGTCACCGTCATCCCTAACTAACAGCGCCTATAGTAAGCTGCCACCACCTTCACCACCACAATTGGTCGATCAGACTGCGTCAAGGGGCACCCGTCTTCTGAGTATGATAAAGGTCTGTAGCCAGGCTATCGCGCTCCCGATGACAGACTAGCTCCGGCTCCTCCTCGACGGACGCCATGGCTGGCTATAACAAAAATTACCTTACCCCGGCTTCGGGCCAGGAGCCTGGCGAGTCGTCGCCATCCTTTGCCCAGACCGGGGCCGAATTCAGTCTCGACGACAGCGAAATCGGTAGCCCTGGATATCTTGCGACCCCGACACGAAGCCCCGGCTTTCGGCCTGGCCACATCTCCCCCTCATTCGCGCAGACTGGGGCCGAGCTCGATCTCGACGATAGCGATGAGGAAGACGACGAGGAAGACGATGAGGACGAGGACGAGGACGATTTCGACCTACGCTCCGAGGTTGTTAGACATGCTGGTCCGGCGGCCGAGGTGTATCAGATGGTAGAGCAGAACCAAGCGCGGGGGGATCTCACCGCCGAGCGCCCTTGGGAGGGGGACGAACTGGCGTCGCCCCGGCCGGACATGCGCAATAACAGCACAAGCTCGGTCGCCAGCTTCCAGCTGTACACACCCGATGAGGAAATAGCAGTCCGGAGGAAGCTTGATCGCAAGCTCGTCCTGTTCGTCGCGCTGCTCTTCTTGCTAAGCTTTCTCGATCGCTCCAGTAAGATTGATACCTGCCTTCTTTTTTGGATCTTCATGAGGTTCTGATCTGACCCTTCTCAATAGACATTGGAAACGCTCGGATTGCTGGGATGGACAGAGATCTTCAGACGAAGCCGCCCCGTGACGATTGGTACGATTGGTCTCTCACGGCCTTTTACATATCATACATCTGTTTCGAGTGGATGGCGTTGCTCTGGAGGCTTATACCGGCTCATAAGTTCGTCTGCGGCATCGTCATCGCATGGGGCGCGACCGCAGCGCTGCAGTCTATTGCGCCCTCATATCCTGTGTTGATATTCTTCCGGGTTGTGCTTGGAATTAGCGAGGCGGGCTTCACTGGAATCCCGTTCTACCTGAGCTTCTTTTTCAAAAGGGACGAGCTTGCCTTCCGGACCGCTATGTTCATCTCTGGTACGTCTCCCCCCCCCAACCTTCATTATGCCTGCCGAGATTCATCAGAATTCGCTTGCTAACATGACAACTGCAAAGCTGCTCCTCTCGCCACTAGCTTTGCTTCCTCTCTGGCATGGGTCATCGTCAAGTGTGCCGAGCTGAGCCCAATCGCCCCCTGGCGACTCCTCTTCCTCATCGAGGGCTTCCCCTCAGTCATAGCCGGCGTCATCGCCTTCAAGGTCATCCCCGACTCCCCTCAAACCGTATCGTACTTCACCAAACGCGAGCGCAAGGTCGCCAGGCTGCGCCTCCGCGGCGAGAAGCCAACCTCCACCAAGCCCGACCAGAAGGAGGACTCGGCCCTCCACGGCCAGGACCTCCTCGCCGTCTTCCGCGACCCCGTCGCCTGGATATCCGCCGCCATGTTCTTCCTCTCCAACATGGCCTACTCCTCCCTCCCCGTCTTCCTCCCCAAGATCCTCACCGAGATGGGCTTCAACAACCTCTCCGCCCAGGCCCTCAGCGCGCCCCCCTACCTCGTCGCCTTCCTCCTCGTCCTCGTCACCGCCCACCTCTCCGACCGCTTCCGCACCCGGACCGTACCCATCGTCCTCCACGCCACCGCCTCCGCCGCCGGGTACGCCATCCTCGCCGTCGCGGAGCCAATGAAGCTCTCCCCCGTGTTCCGCTACGTGGCTGTCTACCCGGCCGCCGCCGGGTTCTTCAACGTCGTCACACTCATCATCACCTGGAGCATCAACAACCAGGCCAACCAGAGCCGGCAGGGAGGCGGCTTCGCTTTGCTGCAGCTCATCGGCCAGTGCGGGCCCCTGGTCGGCACGCGCCTGTATCCAGTCAAGGACGGACCATACTACGCGCACGGCATGCGCACCTGCTTCTGGGCCATGCTCGGGGTCGCCATCTTGGCCATCGTTCTTCGAGTATACATGTCATATCAGAACAGGAAAATGGATAGGCTTGAAAAGGAGCGGGCCTCCGAACTGGTTGACGAAGAGCAGGAGGGTTTGGTTGGGAACGGAAGGCGGCAAACACAGCCAGACTCGTTTCGCTACATGCTTTGAACGTTCAAATAAATATGTAAAATACCGATCTTCGGCAATTGGAATAAATATTATTTCTTGGGGGTTTGGTTCCAACCTTGTGTGGATGTCGTCTACTCAGCCAACTCATCATATGCGATACACCTAGTATTGATACCCAACACGTCCGCAACATTTGCCCCTTGCTCGCCAACTGGCGGTCTCTACTATATTATACCGCGGCTTGAGCTCCGGTCCCGAACACCATCCACGAAGGTGCACGATAACGACGAACGCCCTCTTTCCACCACTCATCCTTGTTGCCGTGGACACTCTTCTCTAGGTTAAACATGGCATAGCTTGGTTGAGGTTTCCCTTTGATTGGATCACCTGGCCGTGCCCGCCGACGATTAGCCTTCCATGCTTCGAAATTTGATCTGCTGTGTTCATTCTGCTTCTTTAACTTTGATTTGAGCTTGTTGAACCGAATAGTGCCTTCTTGAATAATGCCATTAGCAAAGCTTTTGAACCTCTTGGCCTTTTTCGGGATCTGGCTCGAGATGCCCTTGAGAGACCTGGCTGACGGCTTTCGTTTCTGGCCAAATTTGTCCCCAAAGTTGATGGGATGTAGCTTGGTGCCAAACTGAGGGCTTTCGAAACCGGCGGCGTCACCGCCTCCGTCGTATTGACTTTTGATTGCACGGGTGCTTTCGAACGTGGCCCGGCTGCTGCATTGGCACTTTGGGCACCTTTGAATCACTTCGGGTGGAGCGCGACATTGAGAGGCAGAATCGGATGGCAGGACCTCTTCCTCTTCTTCGCCCTTGTCCAGGTCAAGCTGATCATATGTGGTAATTTCTGGACGGGGCTCTGACTTCCACTCATTAACGGTAGCAGCTGCCTCTTCAGCAGCAGCGTCGTGTATGGTAGAACAAGGTGAGTTTGGGCGTGGGCTCGAGTGTAGGTTAGAGAGCTGGTCATTTCCTTCGCTGTATCTTGAAAGGTTTGTTTCATTGAGCGTGTTCAGGCTTGGTGGTGACGCTGGGGACCTGGCCCGGACTAGATCATCATCCTTGGACCCGTATGATGACGAGGTATCTCGAACCTTGGAAGCTGCATCCTCCTTTGACATGATGGAAGGAGCTTGTGTCGCCAAGTGAAGGGAGTACTTCATCATTTCAACAAGGTCGTCTTCTTGGTGATACGAGACGGTGCTTTCTGAGAGATTGTGCACTCTGGGCGGAGCAAAGTGGAAAGCAGGCGCGACATTGTAATCACACTCGGTTGAAGGTTCTGAGCTGGGCTTGATCTCGACTGGCAGGGTTTCCGGCTGTTGGTCTGTGGGAGTCTCGGTGCTTCCCTCTCGAAGGCTTGGCAGCTCTTTGGGTAAAACCACTCTCTTCCAACGTCTGGGGGGAAAGGGGGGTTTATTCTCGTGGATGTACCCTGGCATGCGAGATACGCCGCCTTGCGGATAGAAAGATACACGCCGGCGGCTTGGTCGAGGAACCGGCAGGCCAGCATGGATAGAAGCCATGGCGCAGGCGGTCCAAGGCGCGCTGAAATATATGATATTGGTGTTATGATGAAGAATGGGACACTGGCACCTCAGAGTGCATATTTTGTATGATGTTGGTGGGGAGACAACAACAAACTACTTGCTGTCTACGGGGTGAGGAAAGTGATATTTCGAACTACCACACATACGCCTTCCTAATATCTCTGCATCTCACTATAGGAAAGAAGGCATTCAGTCCGTATATGAGGAAGTCACATCTCGCTTCTCCTCCCTGTAGCTGCCGAGTGGTTCCCATTTGGAAATAGGCAGATACCTAATCGCGTATCTGGGCATGATGGGATTATGCACAGCAAATAATCCTGCCCCTCCTTAGCTCCTGAAGCTCATTCCAAATAGCGACAGAGCCAAGTGAGGGATGGCTTACAAGACATGGCAATGGCAAGACGCCAATCTATACATGTCTGGCGGACCGGGTAGATGATAAAGAATTTTCCCCCTTTACTTATATGCCCAAAGAGGCTTGTAGTCACCCTTCGGCGTTAAGCTTAAGAGTAATGGCTCACCCTGCTCTGGCCAGGCTCCTGCAGTATATATAATCCACCAACCCGCCCATGTAAGGGTACCGTACCTTTCGCCAGCTCTTCAATCTTCATCTCGTCTCCCCCAGCTCTGCATTAGTGCCCCGGTCTTTTACTCTAGTCTTCACCTTTCTTCTCGTTCTTACACATCTCTCTCACTTCTCCTTCTTTCCCCCTCTTGCTACCAGCAAAGACACAACCAAGACAAACTACCTGAGGAACCGATTGTCCGCTGGCCTTCATTACACCTTGACTTTAAATATGCCTGATATTGGAACCCATCATCTCCCGGGCTTTCAGGTGCCATGTCAAGGCTCATTTGGTCTGGGTGCCAGCGATGGCAACTGAAACCTCTCAATGCCAACTGACCACTAGTTCCTCATCCTCCGTGTTGACTTCGCACGGTTTACCGCACTTTATCATGGCCCCACTTTCGATGTTTATTGCTAAGAGCGACTTCCCTACCCACCATATAAATGCGGTTTTTCGAGTACTGCTTATCCGTTATGTTACCCCGAGTAAGCGTTATGCCCAGTCCAGCCTCGACAGGTATAAAGAACTGCATATAGACCATAACGCCAGCCGTTATTCCATCGCGATATCCAATCCACCTTCTAAATCAAGTCCCCATTGATTCTTTACCTTTCAGTTATTGCGGGGCAAAGATATAATATCAAAGATTCCATCCGGGCCATGAATAAATCCCAGAGCCTGGAGTGCAGGGGAACCTCAGAGAGCGTCAGACCCCGGACACGACAAAGGTTATACAAGGCACCGCCCACTCTAGATGTCCCAGACATAGACCAGGATGCAGCCGAGAGGAAGAGAGTCCTGAATGTCTTGGCCCAGCGCAGATATCGTAAGTACAAGGACACGACCAGCCTCGGCGCACCGCTTCCTACCCGCCGGTTCACTGACGCAGCTGGCCAGGAGATAGGAAGCGCCAGGAGCGCCTAAAAAGCAAAGCACAAGATGAGGCCCCGACGGGCAAAGACACTGGAGATGGAGCTCCCGAGGCCCAGTCGGAAGACCTCTCGTTCCCAAGCGACGCTGATGTGACGCCCCTACCTGTACGCAGTAATGCAACAGTAGCAACGCAACCACAATCTTCAGTTGGTGAGGAAGCGGGAGTCGCCCTCGCAGATCTCGAGCTGCTTCCTTGGGACTCATTGGATGGACCTGATGTGGCTTCTCTTATCGAGTCTTCATCCGACTCTTTTGATACTTTCACAGGCCAGACCGTAGACGGAGAGGCAATTTGCTTGGACCAGCCAGGCTTTACGTGCATGAATGGCGCATTCCCGACCACTCTCTCGTCTACTTTCGGGTCACCACCCTCTTCCTTCGAGGCTCTATCAAGCTCCTCGGAATCCGACTTCGACTTCGTAGACAACTACCTACTCCCAGTCCACGAGCTCACACTCCTGAGAGCTTTCAGGAGGATCGCAGAGCGTCTCGGGTGCGCGAGCAGCAGCTTGTGGGAATTGGACTGCCTATCTCCGTTCAACCAGGGCACGGCCACTCCGTCAGATCAACTACCCGTCGCTTGGCGCCCAACCGTGGCACAAATCACCATCCCCCACCACCCGATGCTCGACTTCATGCCCTGGCCGAGCGTGCGCGACAGGATACTCACCATGTTCAACATGCCAGAGTCGACGCGGCCGCCTGGCGCCCAGGGCCCGCTGGCGCTGGTGAATTTTGCCTATGACTTCGAAGACAATGCGGAAGGTGTGCGGATATACGGCTCCGATCCGTACAACCCAGAGAGCTGGGAGGTAGGACAGGTGCTCTTTGAGCGGTGGTGGTTCCTGTTTGATCGGAGCATTATTGAAACGAGCAATCGATGGAGAAAACGCCGAGGTGCGCCGCAGCTGCTGTTGAAAGGGAGCTGAATGGGCTCCCCTCTTTATATACGTAACAATGTGATGAAGCCATGTACAGATAGATGATAAGAGTAATTGATGAGCCAAGAAATTTGTTTGCCGCACATCAGCATTGTTGAAGTTCGAAGAGTAGGCCAAAATTCCACCTCCCCTATAGCAACGTGACACGACCAGCCGTAGGCTCCATAAGTAGAGTTCCTTAGTTGTAGCCTCGAGACAGCCCTTCTTCCTTAATCAAGTAAATTCACCTCAATTCTCGCTATCTCATAATTCCTCGATTAAGAGGCATGTCCCCAGAAATCAGTAATCAATAATGTACTACGAGACCATAGGCTTGGCGAAGCGTTGGGCTTCGTGTGTCGTAACATGACACGGGTTACGCTCTTTGAACCAGCTAGTCGCACAGAAGGAGGGCGGTGAGCAGCTCTCCCGTTCTGCCATTCTGCGTCATGTCCATCCTCGTGGTGGTGTGGTCAATGCATCTGTCCATCCCTGTCCAAAAGTGCGGGGATCGCGGAATGTGTCTCTGACATGACCAGGCATTGTGGAATTGCCCATGATACGGAGTCTAGGCCCCGATCAAGTATGCTATTGCATCAGCGGCAATTAGCCATCCCGAGGGGAGCTGAATGGTAGGTTGGCTGCTACTTAGGTTTTCTGCTAGGCAAGCCTCTATCACGGCGCCGCTGAAGCACATGTTGCTTGCACCGGTTGAAGCACAGTGACGAGGAAAAGCCTCCGCTAACCAGCACGCTGCAACCAACACAGCCAATCAAGGCCCAGGGCAAGAGCATCAGTGCGCCTTAGACGGAGATAATGTGGGGAGGGAGAAATTTCCATCGCTAGTTCCACTTCCCTTCTGGATTTTTTCTTCTTTGCCTGCTGGGCAATGTACCCCTCCATACCTTTGCTGAAGACCGTCTGTGTCATCTGCTGGAGGTTGTAGGTACATGTACCGCCCATGCCTGTACCCGCTATCGGAGCTCGCTGTAGAACTGTACCTGTCACCTTGTAGCCCACACAAAGACCCTTGTTGGCTTGGTCCGTGGCCCCATCTCCCGCTGCCTGCCCCGTGCAAAACTGCCGTTGACCTGCTCGCTTCGTGACTCTCGAGGTATTGCCTCAACCTTTTTCCGCTCTTCATTTTCTATCCTCATCTTACCTCGCATCTGCGTCCCTCCCCGTGCAGATACAATCTCCCACCCCTCTCCTCCCGTCCCCTCCTCCCCCTCTCTTTTGTTCCCGATTGTCCGTTGGGAGCTCCCAAGACTCCTACAGCTGTGCTGTTGTGTAGCTGGGAACCTGTTTCGGGGTGAGTAAACCCCCCTCGTCCCTCATGCCCCTCCACCCCCCTCCGTCAACGCTTCCCGCCCTGCAGCTCTTTCAGATCGATCCAATTGCGTTCGATGGGATACCTGCAGGCTCACCGTTACCCCTTCTGTTCGTGGCAGCGCCGCATCTGGCTTCTCCTGCATCGGGGTCATAGCCATTCTTGACTAACAGCTTCGCTTGCCCGGCAGGTGTACCTTCTTGTCCTCCATTTTATAGCTGTCGCTCTCTTCAGGCCACAGAAGTTGATCGCACTCTTACTTTCTGGCCTGAATATAGGCGTTCAAGTTCTTCTCCGACCGCCCAGAGCGTTGTCATCGTCTAAACAGATCGAACCACTTCCCTCGACACCGCTCCCACACAGTCCACCATGCATATCAAGCAGATGCTCACCGAGGCCGAGGGCACCGGCCAGCCGTCTTTCTCCTTCGAGTACTTCCCTCCCAAGACGGCCCAGGGTGTTCAAAACCTCTACGATCGCATGGGCCGCATGTACAACTTCGGCCCCAAGTTCATCGACATCACCTGGGGTGCAGGTGGCAGAATCGCCGAGCTCACCTGCGAGATGGTCCACCAAGCCCAGGCCGTTCACGGACTTGAAACCTGCATGCATTTGACATGCACTGACATGGGTATGGAGAAGGTCAACGATGCTCTGAAGAGGGCCTACAAGGCCGGCTGCACCAATATCCTCGCCTTGCGCGGTGACCCCCCTCGCGACCAGGAGAAGTGGACAGCCACCGAGGACGGGTTCCAGTATGCTCGCGACCTCGTCAAGCATATCCGGAAAGAATTCGGTGATCATTTCGACATTGGCGTGGCCGGTTACCCCGAGGGATGCGACGACAACAAAGATGAGGACCAGCTCCTCGACCACCTCAAGGAGAAGGTTGACGAAGGTGCTTCTTTCATTGTTACCCAGATGTTCTACGATGTGGACAACTTTATCCGCTGGGTGAAGAAGGTCCGCGAGAAGGGCATCGATATTCCCATTCTGCCCGGTATCATGCCTGTTGCAACATACGCCAGCTTCCTTCGTCGGGCCAACCACATGCAGTGCAAGATTCCCCAAGCATGGCTGGACCGCCTTGAACCTGTCAAGAATGACGATGTTGCTGTGAGAGAAATTGGGACGACTCTGGTTGCTGAAATGTGCCGCAAACTGCTCGCCAATGGCATCTTCCACTTGCACTTCTACACCATGAACCTTGCTCAAGCCACGCGCATGGTTCTGGAGGAGCTCCAATGGACCCCATCAGCCGAGCGACCCCTGCAGCCAGCACTGCCCTGGAAGCCTTCTAAGGGCTTGGGTCGTCGTGACGAGGACGTGCGACCCATCTTCTGGCGTAACCGCACAAAGGCGTACGTCTTGCGCACACAAGACTGGGACGAATTCCCCAACGGGCGATGGGGTGACTCTCGTTCTCCTGCCTTCGGAGAGCTCGATGCGTACGGCATTGGCTTGACTGGTTCCAACGAAGCCAACAGGAAGAAATGGGGTGAGCCTCGATCTTATCGAGACATCGCTGAACTCTTTGTCAAGTATCTGAAGAATGAGATTGAGACATTGCCTTGGAGCGAATCTCCTCTGACAGGCGAGGCCGATGCCATCAGGGAAAGCCTGGTCAACCTCAACAGACGGGGTATTCTGACCGTCAACTCCCAACCTGCTGTTGACGGCGTCAAATCATCTCATCCTGTCCACGGTTGGGGCCCCTCAAATGGATACGTATACCAGAAGTCGTACCTCGAGGTGCTAGTTCATCCTCGACTGTATCAGGAGTTGACCAGCCGCATGGCCAAGCAAGAAGATCTGACATACTATGCCGTTACCAAGTCTGGACAGCTCGAGACCAACGCACCCAGTGACGGGCCCAATGCTGTGACATGGGGCGTCTTCCCTGGTAAGGAGATTGTCCAGCCGACCATCGTCGAGAGCGTCAGCTTCCTTGCTTGGAGAGACGAGGCCTTCCAATTGGGAATGGATTGGGCCAAATGTTTTGATTCAGGCTCTGCCAGCAGAAAGCTCATTGAGCATATCATGACCGACTGGCACCTGATCAACATTGGTGAGTAACACACGACCCAGCATCTTTCCTTGACGAGTTTGGTTACCTAATACTTTCTATCTAGTCAACAACGACTTCCATGACAACGAGAGCATATTCAAACTCTTTGACGGCCTGGAGATTGATTTCAAGGAACTAGAGTCGCCTTTTGAAGGTCAGACAGACAATCAGGAATCTGTGACTAATGGCAACCACGCCTCCGAGGCGATTTCCAAGGAGGCTCCTGCTGCCGCCTTGGTGGCAAACTAATCGGGATTTTCTGGGTAACAAGCATTCATCACCCTTTGCTTGTCCTTAAAAGATGATTGGCTACGTCTTTCATCTCCATCACTTTTCTTTTGAATCTTTTCTTCTTTTTAGCTTTTTATCGCATTTCCTTTTTTTAATGCATCGGGCGGGCGTTTACCACGAAAGAGTGTCTTTTTCAACAAAAAGGTACACTAGAACTCTTCGTGTAAGAGGTTCAATGGCTGGGTTTCATGATAACGAAGACATGTGCTACTATAAGACGGGAGGAGTGGAGTGAAGCATTGGTATCAATGCGAGAATTTTCTAATCGCAAAGGAGGGTGATGGGCACAATAAATGACCTGCGGCATCATGTTTTGTCTGGGACAATGCTTGTTGTTACATCTCCCTCCTTTCACGACATGACGAACATCAGGGAAGAAGACACGCACGCAAGGAGGAGAGTGGGGAGGAAAAGAAAACACAAAACAACAAGAATCTCAAGGCCTATTCTTGTTCTTTCATATAGCATGCATATGATATCTCAACGATACCCCAGGCCATGGAACAGTGGAGGCAAAGAGACCTTCCATCACACCATAGATACTGTCTGCAAAGGGCTCTCCGCAGCGAAGGGCCCCGTTCTTCACGCAGGATCGGTCAAAAATACTAGGCAAGATTCGAGGGGATGTAAGTGGGTAGATCGATTCATCTACCATGAACTAACTACCCTTCGGTTTTTGGCAAGAGGCGGATTGAAGGATGCCAACAGACAGAAAAAAATAGCAAATAAAAAATACAAAGTGAAGCCGCAGAGAACCGCCATGACTATTTATACGTCTTGGCGGCTCCTGGCTCTCGAATGGTCGTTTTGGACCCGAGATATACCGTTCTCCGTAGTATAGCACGTTTCTAGTGACTCCATTTGAACGAGCTTCTATTCGCTACATGTCCAAAATTGAATGAAGAAGAGCCGTTGAAATTCAAATCACCAATGAGATATGATGCTTTCTTAACAGAAGCTTAACCGAAGCTCTAAGCTCTCAACTGCCACTAGGGTAAAGCCTGCGCAATATTTCATGCCAGGTGAATCTCTATTCTTTGTTTAATCTCGCTAAGGTAAGAGGCTAGTAAGCATCGGCATCATCTCCCGCCTGGTCGTAATCGAGATCCTCATGCTGCTGCTGGGCCTGCTGCTGGTTATGCGGCTGCGCACCCGCCTTGTCCTCGTCCATGCCCGCCATGGCATCGTCTCTATCTTTGTCCTGTGGCGGTGCAACCGGTGGAAGGGGGGTATTGACCCATGACAGCTCGAGCTTGCCCTCGACGCCGGGAAGCTCGCTGCCGTGAAGGCTATTATAGAGCTTCTCGGCCGTCTTGCGGTCCCGGAAAGAGACAAATGTCGTGGTTGCCGAGGGCTCGACTGACTCGAACTCTCCGAGGCTCTGTGTCTCCGTGTTAGTTTGATGTAAAGCAAGAAAAATGGAGTGGGAATCTATGGTTGAACTCAGGGGAATAAACATACCAAAAGGAAGTGGCGAAGGCTCTCGTCCTTGTCAGTCGCCGTGAAATCAACGCCTGTAATCGCGACACGCTTGGGCCTGTTGTCGAGGGAGAATTGAGCATACGCAGCATGGCGGCCTTCCACTCCCCGGAAGCTTCCGCGGCTCCCTCTCCACGCACGAGTGGCCCGTCCACGGAACGTTGATCTGCCCCGGTAACCTCCCCGTGGAGGGTATTCCACACTGATACTGATGTCATCTTCCGCGGCATTGGGATCCAAGCCAAGTATTTTGGCTTCTTCTTCCAGCGAGGCAATCTTCGCTCGAAGCATGTCGGCCCCCGATGAAGGGGCATCGGGAATTCCGCCGTTCTTCTCCAACAGCTTAGCCTGTAACCGTTCCCTCTCTTCGCGCTGTTTCTGCATCAGCTCCTGTTGTTTCTTCTCAAGTTCCAAGCGTTGCCGTTCCAACTCGGCCCTCTTCGTTTCCCTTTCTTGGAACTTCTTCTGTGCCTCTTCTTGCCTTTGCTGGAATTCTTCGGGATCAATTTCGAAGGTAACATCCTCTGCGTATTGCATGTCATGATCTTTTGACCTGTCCTTGGTGGAATGAGACCCATTCCCCGTGCTACTTTCATCCTTCTGCCAAAACACTTTGACAAATCGATTATCAAAAATGGCCTTTGGTGACTGATATGCTGCATTTGCGGAACCCCACTGATCGTACTTGATAATCGCAAGATGTTTGTTCGGCTTCATTGATATCTCATCGATATTTCCAAATTGCGAAAAGAATTTCCGCACTTCAGTCTCGTTCAAACTCGCGTCAGGTATGTTTTCCACCACGATTGCGGTTTTTGAGCGGTCATTGCTTGGGCCTTCGGCAGAGAGATGCGTTCGGCCTCCGCCCTTGCGGCCTGCCCGTCCTCCTTTGCGACCACCACGGCCACGGCTATTCTCGGGCTTAAAAGCAAGAGGATTTAAAAAGGGAAATAAGTTGGCTGGGAGCATGGCCTGATCAGGGTCATATTCTGCGGGCAAGTTAAATGCAGGTTAGCTATCATGTGCCTTGAGAAAAAAAGGAAGGGGAAGAGTATCTCACCATCGCCCTGAGACCCAGCAACTGGAATATATAGAGACTCATTCCCATGATCATACATGCAGCTCGTTCCTCGGGAGCAATACCCCTTAGAATCGAAGTCTCGGCATCTACCTCTCCGCCGCGGCTGGCCTCGGGGGCCATTTCCTATAAACTGCCCCATCCCAGGGTATTGCATGGCCATTGCCATGAATGCTTCCATAGTAGCTGGATCCTGGGGGTCGAATGGAGGCATACCCATCGCTGAGAAGTCCCCGCGTTTATCCTCCCCTCGACCTCGCCCACGTTTCCGCTGCTGTTTAGCAGGCCGGCCACCATTGTGATATCCATCTTGGTTCCCAGATGGATCGGCGTCGTCTCGGTCATTGTAGCTTCGTTTCTTAGAGCCGGAATGGCCCACGCTTAGAACTGTAGCTACTTCAGGCGGTGGGGGGTCGGACCTGCGAGGTTGGAGTTTGGGAGCGGGCGCAGCCCCAGGAAGATAGGATTTGTACGCAATCGCCTGGAATACATCGTCCAGAAAAGGCTTCGGATCTGCGACATGAGTTAATGGTGGCCAGGTAGATTTGGCAGGAAGCCAGGCGCAATGCTAGCGCAGTGGCAAGGGAGAGTAACAGCACGGTACCTTCGCTCAAAAAATCAGGGATCTCCTGTTCGCACAACGCGCGGACAGACGCTTTATCGCCATCGTGCTTCAGAAGCGCGATGATATATTCTGCCAATACCTCGGCGTCGGCATTAGATCTAGAAAGTGGGTAGGTGATGAGCTCTGGCACTTGAAAGGTGTGGTAAATGGTAGGAGAAGGGGAGGGCGTACGTGTCTTCGATTCGATTCACAATCCATGTCTTCAGCAAGGGCGCATCTTCCTCGGGGAACATCATGGTGCCTCAAGCAAAAAGGCATCGAAGCCGGAGAATAGGGCGAAGGTCATGCACAGCATGAAACTTTGGACGGTGTCGTGATCGCGATCGCGTTGTCTTCGGAGGGCACTCGATGCGTCGCCAAACCAATTCGCCCAAAAATGAGACGGTTCTCAGCAGATTGGCACTCGGTAGATGCAGTTGGTAACTTTTCCTGTCTGTAGGCGCTCGTAAACTTTGAAGCACTCTAAGAATCTGGTCTGGCTTCCAAGATCAGATTCAGGCTCCACCTCTACTGGGTAACTGCAGGCGGATGCCCACGCTAGCTACAGGCACTACGATTACTAAGGTAATTCGATTGTTTATTATAGCAGCAATTAAAGGTACGGTGAGCTCGACACAGGACGAGTACGAGGTGTGTATGTGCAACCACACTCCTCGTCCCATACGAGATCTCATCTCACGCTCAATCATTGGACAATCGAGTATAGATTCATCGCCCCAGTCTTGCTTTGTTTCTTGGAACCGACACTCGCAAGCACATATGTGATGGGATCAGGAGCCATTCATTTTGAACATAAAAAGTCATCATTTCTTTTGTCGTGTTTCCACTATCGGCACATCACTACATAAAAGCCAAGCGGAGAGCTTCCCCGTGATTATGGCCTCAATCTAGCCCTCAATATTTATCTACCATATTTTTTTTGGTTCCTTGTCTCGGCGGCTAGTCACTTGACAAAAGGCCACCTCGATGTCTTCGCAAGGGGCTTCTCTATGGGGCTCAGGCAGGCGTCCCAGATCTTCGCTAGCAGCCTGTTGAGGTTCTGCATCCACAAGGACGCAGGATCTGATATCATCCATTCATGGAAAGTTCGCTTACAGCTTGTCGTAGTACTAGAAGAGACACATGTTAGCCAACACAATTCGAGAACCCTTTTAGGATCAGTAGGGATATTGCTTACGTTCTCAACACCGGGCACCTCAACCTTGATACCCTTGCGCTTACGCATCTCAGTGACAATAGCTCCGACCTTTGAGGAAGAGTCGAGAGGAGAGCCACCGGGCAGAACCTGCCAGTGGTCGAACACGGACTGGGGGAAGGCCTGTCCGGAGGTGGCGGCACGGAGATCTCCGTTGAAGCCGAAGGACTCAAGGACGGGGAGGTAGGCCTTGATGTTGAAGAGGGGAGTACCAGGGCGCTGCTCCTCGTTGAAGACGTGACCACGTCTGCGGGTAAGGACACCGTAGACACCACCCATGGCGTTCTCGGGCACCTGAATCTCGACCAGGTAGACGGGCTCGAGCAGAGCGGGCTCGGCCAGAAGGGCAGCGGCGTACAGGACACGACGGGCAGTGGGGATGATCTGGCCACCACCACGGTGAATGGCATCAGCGTGCAGGGTCACATCAAGGATGTTGAAGCGGGTAGAGCGCATAGGCTCCTCAGCAACGGGACCTTCGCGGGTAGCCCACTGGAAACCGGAGACAACGGAATCCTTGATTTCGTTGAGGTACTGGACGGCCTTGGTCTGGTCAACCAGCAAGTTGGCACCAGTGCCATCAGGACCGAAGGTCCAGATCTTACGGGCGTCAGTGACATCCCAGCCGAAGTCGTCGGCGAGGACACGGGCACGGGCCTTGAAATCGTCACGGGCGGAAACCTTGCCAGCCTCGATAGCGAGAGAGAGCTCCTCCTCGATAGGCTCAGCAACCATGTACAGACGGTTGTGCTTGTTGGGGGACTTGGAAAGAGCAGTAATGCTGGACTTGCCCTGGACAGTCTCACGGTACTGGACGACGGGGTCGGAGATGATCAGAGGGATACCGGCGTGGTCTTCCTCGAGATCCTTCAAGCAAATCTCGAGATGCAGCTCACCGGCACCAGCAACGACGTGCTCACCGGACTCGGAGGTGTAGGTAAGGACGCAAGGGTCGGACTTGGAGAGACGCTTGAGACCTTCGACCAGCTTAGGGAGGTCCTGGGCGTTCTTGACCTGGACGGAGCGCTGCACGACGGGGGAGACGGAGAACTTCATGACCTTGAGGTTGTGGGCAGTCTCAGAGGTGGTAAGAGTACCAGACTTGAGCAGGAACTGGTCGATACCGACGAGACCGACAATGTTTCCGGCTGGCATGTCGTCAATGGGGTCAACCTTGCCACCCATCATCAGGACGGTACGCTGAATAGCCTTGATGAAGAGATCATCCTTCTTGCCAGGGGTGTAGTTGGGACCCTGGATGCGGACCTTGAGACCGGAGCGGACGGTACCGGAGAAGACACGACCGAAGGCGTAGAAACGACCCTTATCGGAAGTGGGCACCATCTTGGAGACGTAAAGCATCAGGGGACCCTTGGGGTTGCAGTCACGGATACCAATGGCGGCCTCGTCGTCAAGAGGACCCTCGTACAGAGTCTCAGCACGGTACTTCTGGGCAGTGACGGGAGAAGGAAGGTGGAGAATCATCATCTCCAGAAGGGCATCGGCAGCGGGGAGGAAAGTGCGCATGACAACCTTGAGCAGCTGCTTGCCCTCCTTCTGGCGGTCCTCAGCAGAGATCTTGAGCTGGAGCTTGTCCAGAAGAGTGGTGATCTCGTCATTCTTGAAGTTCATGACGGCGGAGAAGATCTTGAAGATGGGGTCCAGGATGAACTGGTTGAAAGCACGCTCAAGGGACTTGCCCTCGTGGGTACCAGTCTTGGACCACTTCTTGGTGTGGGGGTTGAAGTAGTTGTCGCCCTACAAGTAGTTCCGAGTCAGTACGCAATCATTGGAATGCGACGAGCCTATACCGCCATCGTGGGAGGGGAGCATCTGCATTCAAGCAGAGATGAGACTTACCCAGAGACGCTCCATCATCTTGCCCTTGTCAACACCGAACTTCTTGGCGTAGCGGACAGCGAACTGGCGGATAGTGAAGGCCCAGCCGTGGAGACCGGAACCGAAGGCAACGGTACCCTTGTAGGGGTAGACCTGGACATCACCGAGAGTCTTGTCAAAGTAGGTGGAGATGATGACGTTAACGGACTCGATGGTACGGGAGAAGGACTGGTAAAGATCCTCCTTGGAGACCTGAAGCTCGAGAAGAGCACGGTCGACCTTGTTGATGATGATGACGGGCTTGATACGCTCACCAAGGGCCTGGCGGAGCACAGTCTCGGTCTGAACGCACACACCTTCGACAGTGTCGACGACGACGAGGGCACCGTCAGTGACACGGAGAGCAGCAGTAACCTCAGAGGAGAAATCAACGTGACCGGGGGAGTCAATCAGGTTGATCAAGAAGTCCTGACCATCGGTCTTCTGGCCAACGATATCCTTGATATCATCGGGGTCATCAAGATGACCGTACAGAGAGATAGCAGTGGACTTGATGGTAATACCACGCTCCTGCTCATCGGCACGAGTATCGGTGGCACGAGCCTCACCAGCCTTGGCGGAGGAGATAATACCGGCCTTGGACAACAGGGAGTCGGTCAGGGTCGACTTGCCGTGGTCGACGTGGGCAATGACGGACATGTTTCGGACATTGGTGGGCTTGTCCATGAGGGCCCGGACCTCGTCGACCGTGAAGCTATCATGGTGAAGCAATATGTCAGCAAACTCTGTTTTTTCCTTTCTGAGGGCATAGTGTTATCTCCGGAGGGGCAGGGCGCTGTTTTTTTTGCGCTCCGGCGCCAGCGTCGTTGCGTCGAGGACGACTAGGCGACGATGAAGGAGTGGTGAGGGCAATGGGAGCTGATCCCGAGCAAGAATGAACATCAGAGACAACTTACTTCACCATCTTGGCGGTATTTTTGCTTTTACCTGGCTTGAATGCCTGTAGGTGTTGAAGGAAAAAATTGGTGGTGATGTGGGAGAGGAAGAACCCAAAGCGGGGTTGTACTAGATAGTTTTATGGCCCCGCGTTGACGTCTCAGTCACTCAGATCGGGCAGCTCAGTGGTGGGACACAGTGCTTAGCAGGTCAATTTGCAGCACCAAGAGGTACTGCTTGCTTAAAAAATTTGCCTTTTCGGATTGCAGGGAAGGTTCTCTTTCTGATACCTAAGCAGGTAGAGAGCAGGAGCATTACAAAGGCATGTTCGAGAACCCAGGTGCCCTTTTATCTAAACCGTGGCCAACCTCCATTGCCTCCCACCACTGCTCCGGCACGCCTTAGGTATCCCTCTGTTCATGTACTTGACTGATTACCTACCTACATATGGTCTGTTGAGGCGAGGTACATGAGGTTCAGCGCATTGTTCCGCGCTTGGCACAAGGACCGAAAAAAAATACGATCAGGCGAGAGGATTGGTGGGGCAGAAGGAGTTTGCTTGCTCACCTTGCCCCACCATCATAGCGATGGTGACCTGAGCAGCAAGCCGCCTACCAAAGTTAGCAGAGGCTGATAACGTGCGTGGGAGTCACACCGCAATGGGCTGCAGTCATATGGATGAAGCTAGAGAATTTATGTCTGGGAAAAGAGAAAGTCAATGAGGAAAGGGCCAAACGTGAGGCAAGCAGGGGGAAATCACGCCAGGTCCAGGCCACTCAAGACTCCCACTCGCCACCTGTGAGGAGCAATTTTGGACTCGCGCCGCCGCCGCGGAACCTGGCCCAATTGATACCCGCAGTGCGGTGAAAAGGGCATAACCCTCCCCTCCCTCTACATGCCACCTGCCATACCTCCCCTCTGTAACGGCAAGCTCCCCCGACTCATGGAGCTTCCTCAATCCGGAAACGTTCTCGGCGTGACTCAGCAGCCAATGCCACTCACACAGCCCAGCAAGCTCCAAAATAATGCAGCTTCCCAGAGTCATCCCGTCGCATATGAGCTTTCTGAAACTCTAATCCAGGCTGTAACCTGGCAAATCACATACGCAAAACGCGACGGTCGCTGAATTCCCCATGTATCGGTACGTTGTAAGTTTGGTAAGGCATGCTGTGTGCGCGCCAGAAGTGTACCTATGTGCCGCCGCTTCTCCCCTCCCCCGCTACCAGATGAGGGGTCATGCGCTGTGGAACTCGCTGTAGCCATTGGGCACCGCCCGCCAGCCTTGGCAGCTACCAACGCATGAAGATCGCTAGTGCAACTGGGTATGACCTGTAGGTGAATGACGAGCAGCTCATGAAACACGTGCAGGGTTCAGTTTCTAGTGCTGCATGTTATCAGCCAGGACCTGCAAGAATTGATACGCGAAGTCAATAATATGAATACATCCCGACATAAGAATATAATATCAAAATCACAATTAACACAGACACCGGCAAATTCGAGACAATACACAAGGCCCTCATCTCTCATTTACTGAATCATAGTTGCTGTTGCTGTCAATTCAAGAACTCAGTCCATAGGTACCTACCAACCTGGATATCATCGGCTGCATGCGGCGTTTGGGTGTCTCAGGTTTAATTTCAATTATTATCGGATTTCCACAATTTGGATACTGCCGCTAGACGCAGCTGGTGTTTTTGTTCTTCAAATCTCAACTTCTACGCAGGCCAACTTTCACATGAAAGACCATCCCGAGGTGAAATCGCGGTTGTGATGACTAATCACTCATCTCCTAATTGCTTCACCTGCGAAGCCATGTCTTTGATTTTGATCAAACATATCATTCCCTTTTGAACATAACATTGCGGCCGGTGACACACTGTGGCGTTGCTTGCACTCGATCCTCTACTCGCTCGAGGTGACACTGCCCGAAACCCCTTATCTCGCAGCTTCCCAATGACTATCACACCCCTGCTCCCCATCACATAATAAGCGTGGCTTCGAGCGGCGTGATTGCCGCCCGGATGCTACTCTCCTAATTCCAGAAATGTCCCTAGACCAAAGGATAGGTCATGAGTTTAGACATGTCATCTCCAAATCGACTCCAGGCCAGACGGCTGGGTTGATCGCGTTGTCGTCTCTTCCACCAGCCCTTCGACCCCTGGTTCGCGCCTATGTCACCGGTTACGCAACCACTGTCGGGCCACGTCTTCTCGCTTTGATCGTCAGTCACATCTCTAGACAACGTCGGAAGTCATCGAAACAGCCCAAGACCGAAGAGACGCCCTCTTTGATACATCCACTGCTCCACATTGTCACAACTGGCTTTGAGCCTCATCGCTTCCCCGCGTTTTGTGCCGTGGTTGCGGGGGGCAGCACTCTGCTTCTGGTATAACACCTATAACCCACATCCACTCACCTACATATTGCATGGATTGGCTGCTTATGCTGTCTCACGCAAGTCTATTAGACATACAAACTTGAAACGATCGCTTTGCATTCTATCGTTCTTTCACTAATACCTCCCTCTTCTCTTTAGGAACCACTCTTTATTCTTCTCACTCGTTCATTTAAAAACCTTAGCGGAATAGCTCGTCTCAGGTATGCCACTCACCATCCAACCATATAAACTTTTCTAACCAATTCAAAGGCTTGCGAGATGGGTATCGGCATTCATTTCTGCATGGCTGGGCATGCGTCTTCTACACCAGAAAAGGGGTTTAGCTAGCACAAACCGAAGTGCCAACGGCAGTGTTGACCCTGCCGCGAAGGACCCTTCTCATCATAAGCCCGCGCCAAGGTCTGGTGGTCATACACTAGATCTTACCTTATTCACAGTCACCAGAGCTCTGGACATCATCGTTGGAGAGCTATGGTCCCGGCATCGTGCCCGGCGCAGCCAAGCTCACAAGTGGACAAAGGCAAGTCATCCAAGAATTGAGCCAGCCTCACATGTATGACTCAACTAACATCCATTAGGCGGAGGAGCTCACCGGCTATCTCACTGATCCCTTCATCTTTGTCGTCTCGTGCGCTTTCATCATGTGGTCCTGGTTCTACTATCCCAACAATCTACCGCGGAGTTACCAGAAATGGATTACTTCCGCCGCCATGCTGGATATGCGTCTGATCGAGGCCCTTCGCCGATGCAAGTTCAACGAACTCCGCTACGGCGAGGACACCGGCCAAGCTTCTCTGCTCGGCCCCATGTGTGTCGGCTTGGACATGCCTGCCGTCTGGGGCGACCCGGCCAAAACCATCCCTTACCCATGCGAGGTGGTCCATATGAAGCGCGGACAGTCTTGCGAGGCCCATGCCATCAGCCGCCTGGCTCGTTCTTGGAAATGGGCCATGTACACATATCTGCCCCTAGCCCTTGCCTTCAAGGTTCGAAAGCTCGAGAGGAAACAGCTCCTCAAGGCGTTCCTCTCCGCATCTCGCTCCTCCCTATTCCTCGGCAGCTTCATCACCATCTTCTACTACACCATCTGCCTCGCCCGCACGCGCATAGGCCCCTACATAAACGGCCGGAGCACAGAGGCGTGCCAGCGCATGGACGGCGGTATCTGCGTGGGTATGGGCTGCGGCCTCTGCGGCTGGAGCATCCTCATCGAGACCGCCAGCCGCCGCAAGGATATGGCCTTGTTCGTCGCCCCCCGTGCGCTGGCGACTATGCTTCCTCGCAAGTATTCCTCGGAGAAACAGTACAAGGAAACACTGGCGTTCGCAGCCAGCGCAGCTGTGATTTCAACATGCGTGTTGGAGAACCCGAAGCGGGTGAGGGGTGTCTTCGGCAGGTTGCTGAATTCTATCATGCGAACATGAAGATGTTTGACAGAATATTGTAAGATGTTGGGTAATTGGCTTCGTTCGGGGTGGTGTTCATGATCATTTAGAGTCACATTGTAAAGTAAACCGGTAGAGTTCTGCGAGACACATATTAATCATAACGCCCCGAGTGGGTGATTCTTTTACTTCATTCAAGGCCGTCTATCATCTACCTCGACTTGATCCAACGGCCCATAACACATTACTCCAATTCTCTTGCTCTCCACCATGAACAGACCCCAAGCACAAACATGCAAGCCAGGATATCCGCCCTCACTGTAGTGAATATCTGGCCGTACCGCAACGCCACCTGCACATACCCCTTAAACGGCTCGGGCAGGAATCCCACAACCGTTTGCACGATCCCGGGCGGTGGCGCCCGGCCCTTGTCGAGGAAGAATCGAGTGGTGAGCAGGCACGCCTCGGCCGTGGCGAACACCCAGAAGAAGAAGTCCTTTCGGTGCAGGTTCTCCTCGTCCGAGAGGGCGGCCAGCTCCCGCTCCATCTTGGTGCCGGTGAACGGGGTGAGGACGGCAATGTACAGGCCGAGCCCGAGGGCGACGAGGGCGTGGAGGAGGCGCCAGAGGGCGGTGTAGGTGTCGAGGGGCTGCGGCTTCTTTTCCTGCTGGAGGTTGGAGAAGCTGCTCAGGTCTGGGAAAGACGACCCGTCTCCGCCAAAGGGGAACTGGGGCATCCCGCCTGGGCCTCCCGCGCCTCCCATCATCTGGCTCATCATCTTCATGATGGGGTCCTCCTCCGCACCAGGAATGCCTGGCCCAGCTGGGTTCTGACCGTTTTGGCCGGCGGTGGGGTCGAAGCCCAGCATCATCTGGCGCAACGCAGCCTCGGAGATGTTCGGCTCAGCTCCAGCGGGAGGAACATCGTTTGTTCTGGCGGTGGTCTTGGGGGCGTAAAAGTGCTCGGAAATGTCTACCTCGTCGGGGTCAGCAGTTGCGTCCGCAGCCTTTGCTGCGGTCGTGGGAGCAGCTGGTGCCGGCGTAATAGACTCGGATGCTGCAGCTGCCGGGGGCGGGGGGTCGAAGTCTAGTAGGGAGAGTTAGCTCGGATTCACCATAGTAATACTTGTGCTAGAATCTTACCTGCCTGTGGGCGGCCGCCCATCCCCGTGATCTTGTTGAGCCGGGCAGAGCCGCCAGCTTTCAGTTTGGCCTCCCGCCGTTCCTTTCGCAGGCGTGCCTGCTCCGAGGCCCGCTGAGCAGCAGCATCAGCATCGTTGGAGGTCGCTACACTCTCTGTCATATCTGCTGATTTAAAATTATTTGATCTGGCAAGCGTGGCAGGGAAGTTGGGTGCAGGCGATGGAAAGCCGACGTCGACAAGCAACGTATCAATCCGGGCAGGTGTCGTGTCTGTTATCGTCGATAGATTGTGGACAGTGGGTCCTTACCCCAAAAATCACGGCAGGCTTGGCAGGGTTCCAAATCCCAACTCGACGTCACCAATAACATTTTGCTAACCTACACCCTCCCCCCTCCGAAACAACGTCGTTTCAATCCGCGCATATGTTTTATGCATCTTTTTCTCTCTGCTTCCTGGACAAAGCGGTAATTCGGCACATTACAAACTACAGTACGCCCCCTGATGTCAGATGGCATTAGCCAGCTGGCCCAGCGTCAGCGCTTGACGAAACTACGGATTAAACTGCCGAGATGACCAAGACTAAGACGAACGGAGTTATTATTGAAACAGCAAACACTATTTTTGCATATCCCGCCACCTCAATTTCCTATGTACACTTCTCAAGCAACCCAATAGCGTCTAAAGGATGCTGTCATTGACCTGGATGACAGCAGGGGCGGCGAGTGTACACTGCACCAGAGCATCGAGACTAGAAGGGTTGTTGGTGGTTGTGAGTGCGCCATGGCTGAACCCGTTCATCTGATTTGAGCTGAAAGGAAACGTGGCGGAGAAGGAAATTACACTCCCCTGCCATTGGACGTTGGTGATGCTGACCGAGAAAGGCTGCTGCTGTCCGGTGGTATAGGTCATGTAGAGGCCGCTTCCGTCGCCTCCAATGTACTGCTTGGCAGCCTCAGAGGTCGACAGGTCCGCCTGGAACGAGAGGGTCTGATCGTTTGGCTGGATGAGAGCCACAGGTCCACCGTTGGTCGCCAGCGTCGGGAAGATGGGCAGGTTGATGTTGCTGAGGGGGAAAGGGCATGAACCAGGGACAACGAAGAGCTGGAGGGCGGAAAAGGCAAATGGCGGCGGGACCGTGGTCAGGAAGGGCTTTTCAGAAGGGATCCGGTTGAGGAGGAGGCGGTAGAAGCCATTCTGCTCACCCTCCTGGCCAATGACAGACGAAACTAGGCGAACAAAATCGGAGAGGCCATCCTGACCGAAGATGACGTTTGCATTCTGTAGCGCTCCAAGCACTACAGCGGTAAAGGTTTCCGCCAGAGCGACGGCGTCCCCGAGCTTGGCGACTGGGAACTGGTACTGACATGGCGATGGGGCAAATGCCCCGGCCGTCTGGAGGATGGAAATTGCTCCAAGAGCATGTAGCTCTTCTTGCTGTTTAGATATTAGAACGCGGTGAACTTTAGATGGGATCCGGGGACTGGGACAAGACTCACCGCTTGCACAGCAGTCAGGATTGCAAGAGCACCGCTGGGGGCATCTTGATAGCCGTCAGCGCCACTGGTGATGTTGTTGATCAACGAAGTGAAAAAAGCGGTCTCGAACAACTCGTTGAAAGCAATGAGCTGGAGTGCCGTGATGGTATTGGGCGGCAATGACGTGGGAGTGGCTCCGTCCGGAAGTCTTCCTTTGGCACGCTGGGAGATATCGAGTATCTGCTGAGGGCTCGGGTTGGGGAACCCATCATTCGTTGGGACACCGAAAGCCCTCGGGACTTTGGCACCTGCAACAACCTCTGCCAGGATAACACTGGCAGCGACGATGGAGGATATGAACCGCATTTTCACTGGATGTTTTGAAGTAGGCAGATATTAGAAATTGTGGCACGGTGTCAACGAGGCTTCGAGAGGAGTGATGAAGCGTCGGGTTTGAGGGGAGCTTCAAAGGTTTATAAGTAAATTCCCAACAATATCGGATCTTCGGAAGCATATTAATCGAAGACGACATGACAGAAGTTCTACGACACTAGCCATGTCTTACTTAGTTGATGGCTATGGCAATGGTGATGGCGCGAGTAGTAATGATGATGATGACGGCCTAGTCCTCGCATAGCCTTGAGCGCCAAAGGTCCGACTGGAATTCTCTTACATCAGATTGTGTAGATTAGCACCACACCCTTTACGGACCCCAAAGTCAATGGTGACGGGGCTAACTATTTTTGAAAAGCTATAATAATAGCAGGGTCATAAATATAGAAAATTCACTCCTCCTGACCATCTCGCATGAAAAAGTGAGAAGAGATTGAACACCTAAAACGATGCATGATGTATGCATTCAGTGATACTTTGATGACGCTTGGGGGTTGGGCGTCGGTCTGCGTTGGGTAAGGTATCAACTTAATTACAAACCATCCTCTTACAGACTCGGAGCTTCATTTGGCTGGCCGAAGGCGGCTGGCTAATGAAGCTAAACGGTAGTTCTCATCCGCATAGGGACATGAAGTAGACAGTAAGTAGGTAGCAGGGGAAATCGACCAGTAAAAAAGACATTTATTCATCAAGCTTCACCAAGACAATTTCATCATGGATTTTTTTCTACTCTAATTTATTTTCCCCGGCCGCCCTTCAAATTGATACTCCCTTGTTAGTGCGTACGGCCACTAACATAAATATTCAAGCGATTAGAGACTATTGGTGCTGACAAATTTCGACTATTTGGCTAATTGGTAGCCTTGCTCATGGTAACGAGTCTCTTGACGCCGACCTGGGTAGATGATATATTAGCAAAATCAACACGTAAAAGTTTCATCTGGTAGGGGTTACTCACCATCCAATTACCACATTCCTCAGTCTTGTCCCGTTGAATATCTACTTGTATCTTTTGGGCCGTAGGATAATCCTTGGACTGAAGTGCGTTGGCCAGTTGCGAGAGCTGCTCAATAGTAGAGGGCTGAACCAGCTCTTCGTTGTTGAGGTGGTCGAACAAGATGTTCAGCCGCTTCTGTGTATCCTTGATATGAGTGGCAAATGTAGCTGGTGCCCTGGCAGCAACCCGTTGCATATCTTGACTCAGGATCTCTACCAAAGGCTGAGCGCTGGCTGGGATATGAGATCGATCACCTGCAGGATGTCTGACCTTGGCAGGAGCAGCGGCTTTGGGTGGAGCCGTTGCTGCAGCTGGTGCTGAACTCGGTGGAGGTCCAGGCCGAGAAGCCTGAGGGGGAGGGCCCGATTGAGGCGCACCAGGCCCTTGGTTAGGAGCCGGGGCATAAGGAGAAGGAGCATACGGATTGTTTGAAGGTGGCTGCTGAGGAGGAACACCGTACGCCCCAGCTGGAGGAGGAATAGAAGCTGGAGGAGGATGGGCTGCCTGCTGTGCTGCAGGAGAAGGAGCATATCGGTTTGAGGAAGGGGCTGCAGCTGGAGGAGCATTGTAGGATGAGGCGGTTGGTGGGATAGCGTGGGGAGGCTGGTAAGGGTTTGAGCTGGCTTGGTGGGGAGGGGCATAGTGGTTCGCAGCCGAGGATGGACGAGGCGGTGCCTGGAAAGACTGAGACCCGGTAAGCGGCGACTGAACCCGGGGAGGCCCAGATGCCTTGGGTGGAGGAGGGGGAGGAGATGCTACCCCCCGTTGCCCATAAGCACCTGGAGGGGGAGGTGCCGAAAACGTGGCTGGTTGATTGGGGAAGGGAGATGTGATTGCTTGCACACTGGGGGTTGATTTTCGTGGGGGGGCCTTTGCAACAATGGGAACATCATTCCAATTTTCCATATTCTTGGCCTTGGATGGTGGTGGCCCTGAAGAAGGAGTCAAGTTCCTAGGGGGGCCAGGTGCCACTGGAGGTGGTGCCATAGTATGGGGATAGCTGGGCTGATTGAACGTTCCCTGGGGTTGATAAGGGTTCGAAGGAGCGAATGGTTGGGTCTGGGCCGTTGGGTACGCGTGGACTTGACTAGAAGGAGCATATGGCTGATTCTGAGTAGGAGGAACATATGACTGGTTCTGAGTAGGAGGAGCTGGTGACTGCCGACCAACTCCAACAAATTGATTCGCGGTGGCTCCGACAAGAGGGTTCTGGTAACCAGCCCTTGATGACGTTCTTGGTGCGGGTTTGCTGGTGTTGGCTTGGGATCCGGGCTTTTGTGTAGCTAACCTGACACGGTTCCTAGCGAGCTCCGCGGCGGGATAGCTCGAAGGCAGCAAGTCAAGATACTGTTGAGCCACTAACAATTGGCCCTGCCCAGCAAGGATGTCGGCATACTCTGTGTACTTGTCATACAGAGCAGCCAGCTTCCAGTCAGAAGCCAGAGACTTCTCCCCATCCGTGAACTTGCTCACTTTGCGGAACACGGTGACTTTTTCGATGAAGCTCTGCAATGTTCTCGCATGGACAGAGAACGTGGAGTCATCAGATTCGGTGCTGATGCCAGCCTCCTTCTCTTCATCCAGATCGGCGGCCCAGATTGAAACCACCTTCTCCAACTTGGAGCCAACCAGGTAGCAGAAAGAGGCATCTTTTCTTGAACCTTCTTGGCTTATCCGGTCACCCAAAGCCTCGCAAAGGTCTGGGAACTCTGCGGGGTCTGAATAGGTGCAGAGGATCGCCATGGTTTCCTTCCAGTTCTCCAGGTCGGCATTGTAGACCACATCCCAGAGGTTCTTGGAGATCACTGAGCCGATCAGACGCAGGTAGCTGGGGATTCCGTTCTTCCGGGCCAAATATGCGGACTGGACCTTGTCGACTAGTTCCTGGCCACCACAGTTTGCAATCAAGAAAGCATCAGCAACGCGATCCTCCTTCAGGCAGATATCGGTCGCCTTGGCGAAATTTCCGAGCATGAGTGCCTTTGTCACGTCCTTCTCGATAGATGTGTCGGAGTCTGCGAAAAGATGGAAGGGTTTGTCAGTCTTGGCCCCCTTGTTAGCCGCCAGATTGGAAAGGAAGTCTTCCTCTTCGCCATCGGCATCTGCGCCATCGAAGAAGTTAGACAGTCTCTTCTTCTTGTTCTCTTCCTCGGTCTCCGCCTCGGGCTTAGCATCGTCCTCCTTCTCAGCGTCTTTAGAAGTACCATCCTCGCCATTCACCACATCCTCCTCCGTGAAGCCAAGATATTCGACAATCTTCCCACGTGGATTATCGCCAACCAAAGTCTCCATCACCTTCCAATCAGCCTTTTCATCATCTGTGCTGGCTTGTTCAATTTTATCTTCAAAAATAGCGGTCAGGTCACCAGAAGCCAATGACGACTGGAACTTTTCGCTTGAGACTGAAACCTCAGAGTCGGCGGAGAAGCTTGTGATGAGGATTTGAGAGGACCGCTTCTGGCCTGGCTGAGTAGCGACCTGTTTGAGGACAACGACCTTGCCACCAAACCCAAATGATACACCGACAGGTCGTTCATACCATTTGGGGGCCTTGCTCAGCGACCAAGAAGCGCCCTGTGGCTGTGTTTGAGCGGCACTGAAGAACTCCTCGTCGTCCAAATTCTTCCCCGCAGCCGACTGGGAAGTGTCTGGGTTAGTGTTCTGGAGGGTTTGAATTGTGATTTTGCCGTCGAAGCTAGCAGTGGCTGAAAGATTAGGGTTGTGCGGGTTGAATCGTGTCAAAAAGGTCCAATTGGTGACTTCTGGGAACTCGCCAAGTCGTTCGCCAGTCTGCGGGTTCCATACAATGGTTCTATTATCTTTGCCTGCAGATAGAAGGAGGTCGCTGTCCTGGGCACACCAAGAGAGCGACAGGATACCTTGCTCGTGGCCTTGAAGGGTCTTCTCGGGAGCATTCGAATTACGGAGATCCCAAAGGAAAATCACTGGCGTGTTGTCGTCCGGTGTGGCCGTCAAGAGCTTGGTAGAGTTGTTCGGGTCCCATGCGATCGCACTCACTGCTTTTCGGCTGTTGTTGAGCGTGAGCGAGGCCTTCTTTGTCTTCAAATCCCAAACGGTAACGAAACCTCCGGCTCCGCCAGTCGCAAGAATGTGGGACACTTTTTGATTCCAAGCCAGACAATCAATATCATCGGATCGAGCAGCAGCATTACCCAACCGGAACGGGTTCTCAATGTCGTTCACGTCGTAGATATACAACTCTCCCTTGGCGCCACCAGTAGCGAGGATCTGGGGCTTGAGAGGGTTGAATTGAATGGTCTTAATGGGGCCGCTGTGCTTTGTTGTCTGTGAGATTAGTGCATCTTCGTCCCCAGAGATCAGCATCTCGGCATCCCACAGATCCAGGGAACCGCTTTCCAATGCGCCAGCGATGATTCCAAGGGGGTGGTCTGAGTCGGGGGGACCCCAGGCGATATCGTAAAATCTTAGGAAGCTAGTCAATTACAAGCTCGTCCACCATGAGATTTGTGAATGCATACCTGGACTCGGTAGTGATGCTCACGATAGGTTGAAGCTCAATGCCCTGCTTGGGGTCGTCCAGGGACAGATCCCAGAGCTCCAGCTTGCTCTCATCAGAAAAGTCTGCATCGACAGCGCCAGCTCGAGTGCCGGTCACCAAAAGAGGTTTCCCAGATCCTGAAGACCAGGAAAAGGTCGCTGTCCGCGGCAGTTCCCTAAGGCGCACCATGGTGCTGGAAGCACTCGACTATAGAGGTATGACGATGGGGGGGTGCTCGCTTGTGCTTCGGATGGATCCTGTCTTAATAGCCGTATCTTGACATAGGGAAAAGATTAAAAAAATGATGATCCAATTGTGGTTTGCTGTAACCAGCAGATGGGCATTCAACTGAATGCTCCTTCGGCGTTGGGGGCAGCAAGAATTAAGAGGGCGACACGATATGATGCCAGATTGCAGGCCACCGCTGTTGCTGGACAGGACCTAAGCTTAGGTGCTTTAGGTAAGACGTAAAGGGGGAGTTGCCCACCTCAACCCCACCAACGCCTTCCAAGCGGGACAGCTGTCCAACAGCCGCCTGAAGCCTCCATTGTCCTTAGTGCTGTCACGTGATGATTGTTCCTCAGAATGCAACGAGGATGAGATTCAAAAAATAGTGTATGAGTGCTGGTATAGCTGCAGTCTAAGTGCAATCCATCGGAAGACCTTCGTTATTCTCTACACCGCCGGAACTCTAATTTCACACGACTTGGAAATGACGGACACATCATCCAGGTGGAAGGCCACTGTTTATGTTGGAGGTCTCTCACCTCTGGCTACAAATAGCCATGTTCTCGACGCCTTCATTCCATTCGGCGAGATTGTAGAAGTCCAAGTGCCCAAGAACGATGCTCCGAATGCAACTGACCCTCACAGAGGCTTTGCCTATGTCGAGTTTGAGGATCCCGCGGATGCTAAAGAGGCCATCAACAACATGGATCAGGCCGAACTTTTCGGTCGGGTTCTGAAGGTTTCACAAGCGAAGGCGCCAAAAAGTGCTGATGAAGGGCTAGGGAGCAAAACGGCCATTTGGGAACAGGTTCGTTTCATATCTCATGCCTTGCAATTGATCAATTGAACTAATATGACTACAGGAGGGCTGGCTTGCTAAGAATTCTATTGACGAGCGGGGTGAGGCTCCTGAAGCGAATGGGAATGCCTCGGGTCCTGATCCCATGCAAGGACTGGAGGGTTTGGATGTGGCAGGGCCCAAAGCCGAGTAGTGGGCAGCCTGGGGAATTTGCATCAATTGATCTTATTTATTCACCATAGCGACGGCGTTTACCGGGGGGTTTAACAGATGGTACTTGATTATACAGGGCACAAATGAGATTGACAAGACGATCAAGAAAAGGTCTCTTCGTTCTTCGCACCCACTACTCTCATATACATAAGGGACTACTCCTTCTAACGAACGGGCTAATTAGGGGAAGTTCCCATCCATCTGGCAGGCCTAGTGATGCTTCTCATCAGAGGAGTGTTCCTCCCGGCCGCCAGCTCCTTGTCGGACCAGGCGCAGGTTCTTGTCAACGACGAACTTGCGGATGCTAGAGTAGGTCGCGGCACCGAGGGCGAAGAAAACAACGACGGCTGCGGAACGTTAGAATATTGTACGAATCGTGTTGGTGGAGAAATCGAATTACCGAGGGGGAGAAGTTCCAGAGGGATATTCTTGAGCTTTCGCAGGCGCTGGGAAACGGTGTGACCTTGACTTCGTGTTAGTAAAACGCTCGGAATTGTCGCATAGTCAATTGCCAATTGATCATTGATCGGTTGCAAGATCAATTGGCCGTGGGCGGAGACGTACCAGCCTGGTCCTCCTTCTGTATGACGCATCTTGTCAGCTACCAGCAGGCCACAATCACGAACTAGCTGTCACTCACGGGCACAGGGCGCATCATGCGAGGAGCCTGGCGGAACATCATCTGGGGGGTTCGGCGGAACATCAGCTGGGGCGTCAGGCGGAACATGTTGGCGGCGATGGCAGAGCTCATGTTGACGGCGGTTGAGGGGAGATTTTGCACGGTCTTTGCAGTTGGTGGTTCGAGTAAGAAATATCGCCTGAAGTCGGGACGTATGGAACAGGTTCGCTGGGATTGGATCATGATCCCATGGACGGGGACGGGGGACCCACAGTCACCAACACCAATGTGGGTGCCTGACCTCTATTGGCTGAGTAAAACCTGAGGCACTCACTGGAGCTGTCAGACCACCTGATGTGACCCCGACAACGTCAAACGACCATCTCCATCAACCCTATTCCACATCGAATCCGCCAGCCCGCGAACGCAATCCCCGACTTTTCAAGAGGCCAATTGCACTAATCAATCATCATGTCTGACTCGGATGGCCAGGAGCTTGTCACCAAGCCCTTCAAGTTCGTCACTGGTATGCATTAATCCCGCTGTCGAGCCATCTCTCTTCGTGATCCCGAGGCTAACATTTGTCGCACAGCCGGTAAGCCGACCTTCCAGCGCCACCCATTGCCAGTTGCTCGAACCGCGACGATCGAATCGAGGAGGACATGAGACACCTGACATTTAATTCTAGGCACCGACGCCCGTTTCCCCAACCAAAACCAGACCAAGCACTGCTGGCAAAACTACGTCGATTACCACAAGTGCATCCTCGCCAAGGGTGAAGACTTCGCTCCTTGCCGCCAGGTACTATTCAATTCGGGCCACTCGCGCGTCTCTCCGACTACCGCTAACATTTGCGCACGCAGTTCTGGCACGCCTACCGCTCCCTGTGCCCCTCTGGTTGGTACCAGCGCTGGGACGAGCAGCGAGGTACGATATATTCTATTTTTGCTCGCACATCAATCCGCTCCGTACTGACATCGTCAACAGAGGGAGGAAACTTCCCCGTCAAGCTTGATGCTTAAGCAGCTCCCATTAGTGGCCAATTGAGATGTATATTGAGAAGGGCGATTAGAACTGCGATGGACGATTCCATTGTACCACATGTGAACTAGAATACCAATTCATTTTGGCTTGGTTGATATCCATCCCTGCGCCCCTCCCTGGCTTATGTATATTGTTAGTGCTTTGTAACGGTGAAGTGGTCCAAGTTTTATTTCGTCATCCTGTTCCTTCCGACTCGTATGATTAAGAGGGAAAATACGGATCGTCACCAGGCTTTAATTGGCTCTAGGCCCATGAAAAAAGATAACAAATGCTCAAACCTTGTCCGAGCTCGTTGCTCCGAAGAATTAAACACGAATTTAATGGTATTAAGTCATATGAATGTCAAAGGCTGTTTCTTCGTCATAATTTTATGCTCCAATCAAGTGCTTGCAATTGCTGCTTAGAACCTTCGTGGTCAATCAACCAAATCACCACCCGTTAAACGTGCAGGCGGGGAAAGACAATGCGCCATTCCGAATCATACATAAAACACAAAAATTAATGCTGGCCATTTATTCCTGATCAGACTCATCAGAGCTCATAAACTCATCCTCTTCATCAAAGCCAAAAAACGCCCTGGCTTTCCCTTTACCCTTGTCAATTTTCTCAGGCTCGGATACCGGGGTTGATTCCTTTGACTTTGCTTCATCATCATCCTCGGAATCGCCTTTTTCGATACTTTGATCCGAGGACATTGAGCCCTGTGATGTGGAAAGGAGGTTGTCCTGGTAGTTTCCTGACTTCATGGCGGCGAGAACAGCATCCCGAGTCCTCTCGTTGCACTCTTCCTTGTCCTCAACCCACTGTCCGTCCAGGCGGGCTTTGCTTCCTGATTTAATTTCAGCCTCCCTTCGCTCTGACATCTCAACAATTTGCTCCCATCTTTCCCTGCGCTTCTCCTTTTCCTTCTTTTCCATTTCTGGTTTAATAGCCAGGTACTCCGCCAACGCCTTAGCCTCGGTGACAGTGCGCAATCTTCGTCCATCCAGGTTACGGCTTGATCCATTATCGTTCTGGTTGTTCCTCTTCCTTGATGACATTCGACCACCGGCAGCACGAAGTTGCGATCCGAAACCTCCCTTTCCACCGAACAGCGGAACACTCAAACGTAGTGACAAGAACTCGTCATCGTCATGGCGGAGATATCCGGCGACTGGGGCATCTGAAAATTGCGGTAACTGTTTGTTCGAGACCGTAGTCAAGATGAAGCGAGAGTTTGTGACTGGCAGGCGCTCGTCTAATTGCTCTCGCAGTGTCGTAACTGTGGTCGTAGGTGGGAGCGGAAGTGATAGAGTCGGAGGCAGGCCAAGACCCCCAAAAGTGGTGACCAAAACGTTGATATTTGATGGAGCCATGATGAATGTTGATGGTATCCCGATGTTGACTGTCCTACTCAACAGCGTTGATGGATCGGAGGCGTAGAGATGCTAATAAATGATGGGGGGTCCACTCGCGCCAACCACCTTACTTGCCACGCCGATCCTAGGATGGCCTGCGCCACAATCATTGTCCTCTGCCCCTTATCTATCTTATCATCACGTGAATTGAGCCACAGCCCACACGATTGCGACCCCACCTCGTTAGGTGGGAATTTCAGGTAGGGTTTCCGCCCACAAGAAAATCCAATTTGAGACCAGGCACTTTCGCTGTCCCGTACCGTACAACCGTCCACTTCTTAGCATCGACCAGAAAGCAAAACTGCCGCCACGATGTTGATTCCCAAGGCCGACCGCAAGAAGATCCACGAGGTATATTCCCGTGGAAGCATTCTAAATCGATTGATCGATTGCTAACGTTCCCGCCAGTACCTCTTCCGTGAGGGTGTTCTCGTGGCCCCCAAGGACTTCAACCTCCCCAAGCACCCCGATCTCGACACCAAGAACCTCTTCGTTATCAAGGCTCTCCAGTCCCTGAACTCCCGCGGCTATGTCAAGACCCAGTTCTCCTGGCAGTGGTACTACTACACCCTGACCCCCGAGGGTCTGGACTACCTCCGCGAATGGCTTCACCTCCCTGCTGAGATCGTTCCTGCTACCCACATCAAGCAGCAGCGATCGCATGCTCCTCCCCGTGGCATGCTCGGCGAGGGTGAGCGCGAGAGACGGCCATTCGGCCGTGGACGTGGCGGTGACCGTGGTGACCGTGAGGGCGGATACCGAAGACGCGATGCTGGCGAGGGCAAGGAGGGTGGTGCTCCCGGAGAGTACGCTCCTCAATTGTGAGCGCACACCATTATATTTTGAAATTGACTTGGGAGAGCTCTAATACTGACAATTTGACAGCCGTGGTGGTTTCGGCCGTGGCCGTGGCGCTGCCCCCCCTTCCTAAACAACTCCGGCATGATTAAAAGACGTCACTCTAGAGATGCATGGCGAACGGAATCGGCATGTAATCTAAAAATGGAGGGAAGGTTGACCATGAGTCGGTTTGGGTGGATTTGATCGGCTACGTGGGATTCACCGTGGGAGTTTGGAGGTTAGAATCCTCGGAATGATTTGCATCAGGGTCAATGTTTACTCTCTACGAATTGTCAATGCGGTTCTTCTGTGATATTGGTGACGACTTTTCACACGTACTCCCTATTTCTTGCCATAATCTGGTGAAATACGCTTGGGATGTTGGAATCTGTAATTCGTCAAGCTCCCCACGTGAGGAATTTTGAATTCAAGCTATTAATGTAAAACTCGTTGTGTTAATTGCCAAGCAGCCCGAATTAAGAACTGCTCCCAACCTTCATTGTCGATCAGCTGCCCACCAATGCTTCCAAGAGTCTGAAGCATAAAGAAAATCGCAACTCGCCTCTGCTACATCTGAGTGAAGTGGTTGTTTGGTGGTGTTAGTTGAAAACTATGCCTTCGGGTCTGGACAGCTCGACAGCCCACTTCTGAATAGCCCATCTATACGAGCTTGTGGCGCTAGAAAACATCCGCCATATTGATCAACGCAAAATGCCAAACCCTTTAGTTGCTTCAAACCTTCAAACCTTCGTGTTTCAAACACTCATTACAACCTAATGGCAGCATTAAATCCCAAAATCAATATAGCCCCTTACTCATTGATCTAGGATCAATCTATTCATACTAATTCATTACTGCACAGAACGTCACACAGCCGGGAGACAGCTTTGTCAGGGCTGCAGCGATATCTGGTCCCAACAGCAGATAGAGAGCACGAGGTCATGTTCGTAGCGATCGCTCGTCTTGATAGTAGACAGCTAGGTCGGCTCCCTACGAATTGGCTGTGACTATGGATAACAGCCAGACCAGCTAAACCTCAATCGCTTGTCCTAGCAGTAGATAGGAAATTCGGGTTCACAGCGATCACTCATCAAACAGTAGACAAGTATGTCGGCTCCCTACAGCTTAATGTATGACTGGAAAGCTGCCAAGCCAAGCTTATAGCGATCGCTGGTTCTTACACAAGATACCTACAGAGGTTAGGCCCTTAATGACCCTCCGCCTTAATACTCAGCAGACAGCTAAGCCACGTCTCTAGCTATCGTTCATTTGGTCCAAACTCGTGGCCACAGCTGCCACCGGTGCCGCTACAGACACCGCAGAATGGATAGGCAGGTCGCAGGGGGGACTTTTCTATTCCACTGTGAAAGGCGAGGATCATAATAAAGAGGCACCGAGTTGATCTAGGGAACGCTGGATCTGAAAAGTTTCGACTTCAAGGGCCTCAGACACTCATTATCTACGTCATAAAGACGGACCAAGACCGAACTGGGAACAAGCATAACCGTCCAGACGACCAACGAGGCCTAAATTGCCTTAACTCATCGGCCATATGTGTGACACTCCTGCTTAACAACGAGCATAAGCTTGTCGTATTACTAGGCTTGTCAACAGTTAATTATGAATAATGAATCAGAACAGCACCAGGCAGCACCAGGTAGCATCAGTACAGCCAGAGGATACATTGCTAGCCGCAGAAGGGAAATCAATTTAAGTAGAGAGAGGATTCCAAAAGTCTTAATGAGTAGGGTATTAAAATCTCCTGCTTGAATGTGTATAGATCGATTCATGCTCTATAAAATATCCATATATAAAGCACACTATTGCAAGATAGAGCCATTAGTCAGGTCATCCCTCGATCTCTCAGAGCTACTATCACTTTAAGAGGCTGACCAATAGATATCTTGTTACATTCTTGTCTCGTGGGTAAGGGGGCGCGGAGATGTGACAGCCATCACAGAGAAGCGCCTAGCGATGAGGACGTCTACACCATCAATCGGTGGCATCATTAATGATTCTTTGGTCTTAGACGTGGTCGAAGCCTATGACTTTATTGGAATTACATCCCAGGTTGGTCGTTCCATGAGCCTCCGCATACTCAAATGCACCTTTTCCTCCGTACTGGGCCAGGAAGTTTTCTACAAGGGCATGGATTTTCGATCACGGGATGAGCTGCGATATTAAAATGCAGACCAACAAAGAAAAAAGTTCAATTCAATTAAAAACAAAATAACAACAACCAAAATACTATCTACGGTTCGGCGGCGGCGGCGGCGACGGCCTCGGGGGGGCCAGCGGGGGCAGCAGCCTCGGCGGGGGGAGGGCGGCCCAGGGAGCGGGGCGGCATCCTTGGCGCCGGCGCGGGGTGCCAAGTGGGTGACATTGAAATTGAGACACTCAAACATTAAGCTGCTTATTTTCGAGTCTGCGACCGGTATTATCAGACTATTAAGTGCTAATAATGCATACCTCAGAGATAATATAGTGGATATTGTCACTTAGTTTCATTCTATACTCCTAAACTTCTCTATTTATTATAGAAAATAGTCTATTTACAACCAACTCTTCCATTAGGTGTCTCATTTCTCCTGTCACCCACTTTGGGTGCCCAACACTGGGCCCGCGTATGGCCCAGTTTTTTGCACTGCATATGTCAGTAAATGGCTGATTGATAATAGGTAACTAGGTATGGCAGACAAGCTTATACTTACGTTCCAGCACTTGGGGCGGCGGTGGGGGTT